AATTAATGCATAAAACTCATAAATCAACTTGAAATATATATAACTAATCTTCAAAATTAAATTCTTCCATTGGTTCGAATTTAATTAGAAGATAATCGACATCATTGCAGCGGATACTTGATAATGAAATATATTCTTTTAGTTCAGGAGCATTTCTTGGTCCTTATCTACTCTCTGAAAAATTGACCACGTTGGTGTAAAATTTATCAGAGATTTAAACTTCAAACTTAAATTCATTATAATATTGTTATCATCAACGTTGGTCAGAAAATGACAAAACCATAATTTTACTTAAATAAAATAGACTACTCCTCTAATTTAAATTTCCCCATTGGTTCCAATTTAATTAGAGGATAAACATAATCATAATTTACTAGATATAACTGGTCTTTAAATTAAATTCTCCCGTTTGTTCGAATTTAATTAGAAGATAATCAACATTAAACTTTGCAGCGAAAACATAAGAAAATTCTTTATCTACTTTTTAGAAGCATTATACTTTACTCATCTACTCTCTGAAAAAATTATCCCGTTAATTCAAATTTTGACAGAGATTTAAACATTCAAAATTGACTAAAATTCATCTAAAATTGCTTCTGAAAATAATAAAACTCAATTCAAAAAATTATTACTGTTATTCTAGCCCGAAGGCCCAGCTCGCGCGATGCGACCCATTCTTGCACTTGTTCCCGCGGTGGCCCAACGGCAAATCTGGCCTGTGACCAGCCTCGCGCGCCGCGCCCAGCCCGCAACGTGGGCCTGGGCCGGCAAACTTGCTACCCGCTTGGGCCGTTTTTGGTCCACTGAGCGGTGACCGCCAGATCTTATCCGACGGCTGTGCGCGTAGATCGGGGAAACAAAACCCCGCCTCCACCGGCGCCTTCCTCCTCCCCTGAACCCTAAACTCATTTACATTCGCCCTTTTCTCTCTCTTTGCCACGACGACCAGCTCTCTCCCCCTTCTCTCTCTAGAACATCAACGGTTGGAGATGATGGTGCCGCCGCGGGGCTCCTCACCGGTGAGCGCACCACCGTCGAGCGGCCTTGCGCCATTGCCCTTGACCCCACGTGGCTCCACTCCCCAAAACCCTAACCACTTCTTCCTCCGCCTTCTCTCTCTTTGAAGCACACTTATCCGAGCAAAAGAAGAAGAACAACGGTAGCGACGCCGCCGCCGATCCCCTCGCCGACGTGCGCGCTCGCCCTAGGTTGAGTGCATCGCCATCGAGCAGTCTGGGCGATGGTGCCCTTACTCGCCCTAAACCCTAGCTCCTCCCCTTTCTCCTTAGTGCAACAGACGTCGGAGAAGAAGAGTGCGGCGTCGCCGCGGGTCCCCTCGCCGGAGCACGCGCTCCCCAGTGGGTGAGCGCACCGCCGTCGAGCGGTCCTATGTCGGCGCCCTGAGCCCGCGCGCGTGGCGACCCAGCGTCGAGCGGCGGCTCGGCCTGTTCTGCCCGCGCGACGACGGGTTTCGTCCCGCACGACGGCAGTGGTGACGGTGGTGGGAAGAACCAGGTAGGTCCTCCCCTTCTCCATCTTTACTTTCTAGGGTTAGGGTTAGGTTTTTGGATTTGGGGTGGGAAGAACCGGGTAGGTCCTCCCTTGTCCGTCTTTAGTTTCTAGGGTTAGGGTTAGGCTTAGGGTTTTGGATTTGGGGTTTCAATCCGATTCGAATCACCTCTTTCTTGATTTCTTTTCTGTTTTCTACCCCAAACTAGATCTACACACTAGAACGTGGCTCTGGTACCATTGATAGAACTGAAAGTACTTCTAGGCGTAGATCCGTGGGTAATACTTAGCTTAGATGGGATGACTTGCTGATATACCTCACCAAAAGGGCAGTCACGGCCATGGCGTGGCCGACGAGGTAGCAGCGACGTGGAGGCGTGGTCTAGTGGCGGCGGCGAAGGCGATGGCACTTCCCGTCGCTTATAACGCGCCCTTCTAGATCGGACAGGGCTTGGACATGGTGGGGCGTTGGCGGCTGCGGTGAACCTCGTATCTCGAGCTCTAGCCCCCACCTCCTATTTATTGCGCTGCGCGACAGGGGCCCATCAGCCAGTAGAAAGGCTGAGCGCCCCCGATCAGAGCACGGATCAAGGGCCCAATTGGCCGGTGAAGATCAACCTAATACCTTTTACACTAGATCATATTGTTGATATCACAGTAGAGAATATCACTGATGTTTTCTATCTGTGAGCATATCACTGATTTGTAAATTCGATAACAGAACTGATAGGAAGCTCCTGAAAATCCTCCATTTGGGACTGGGCCTCGTTGTTTGTTGTGCAAGTGTGTTTCAGTCTTTGACTTAGCAGAGGGCAACAGCCAGTAGGGATTGATGTGTATGTTGTTGTGTCTTACGTCCCTAAGCTCTTGTTTTTCGTATGGTTTCTGTAGATTTACTTTGCATCTCAATTTTTGCAACAAGATGTTTACCCGCTGTGGGATATCTCCACTATCCCAACAAGAAGCTTGGGCAGTTCTCTAGGGGGGAAATGCTTGACCTTTGGTTCAAAGAATTTTCCTTTTTCATGTTTCCTGGCAGAAAAAGTTTAGGACAGTACACAATACAACTGCTGATCCACTGGTGTGACATATATTACAGATATTTTTATTTTTAGAAAAGAAAACCAAACTAGGCATATGAGAGCAGGGAAAAACATTTGCAATATATAATCGCTAATGCTCCACCACAGGCGTCTCTTCTGCGTCGATCAGTTCGGACATGGCTAGTTGGGCTGCGGACCGACCCACAGGCCTTCTCCCCTCAATCGGCATACACGGTTTCTCCCAAAAGAGAGAAAGAGAGAGCAACATCTCGCTCCACTGCACCGTTCACCCTTCGGTCGTATACGCATGAGTGCCGCCGCCATCTGCATACGCACGAGCTCCATCGGTCGCGCTATGTCGCCGCCGTGGTAAGGGAGACCGCCACCGCCTCCACCACGGGGTTGCACGCTGGTCGGTGGCTAGGAAGATCTCTGCCTCCGCCTGCCTTGCTCGCTATGGATGGGTGTGGAGCTTGCCCGCATGCAGCTCACGGTAGCCTAGGGCGGAGCCCGCCCACGCACATCTCGCGTGCCTGCCTACCTAGTTCACCGTGGCCAGGGCGGAACTCTCCCGCTTGCAGCACGCGACGGCCGGGATAGAATTCCACACGCCGACGAGGATCCATTCTCCCAAACAACAAGGAGATGTTTACGCTGAAACTGCATGTTGCAAGCATCTATTTCAAGTGTTTCAAATATTTTTGAGGTATATTGCAAGTGCTTTATATCGATGTTGCAAAAGTAGATCGGAATGTTGCATAAGTTCAATGGTGTTTTCAAGTGTATGTTCCAAATATTTCATCTGCTTGGACGTATGTTGCAAGTGTTTTATCTAGATGTTGCAAAAGTAGATCTGGATGTTGCATATATGTGCATGTTGCAAGCGTATGTTTTAAGTGTTTCAGATGTTTCATATGTATGTTGCAAGTGTTTTATCTAGATGTTGCATATGTTTTGCACTGGCTATAAACGTGTTTTCCTAGTGTTTCAAACGTATGTTGCAAGTGTTTTAATTATTTTGGACGTATGTTGCAAGTATTTTGTTTAGATGTTGCAAAAGTAGACTTTGGTGTTGCACATGGTGCAATGGGACCCATATGCAGCCGCCACCTGTTGTAGCTACTAGGCCCGCCTACATGCTCGTGGGTGTGGATGGGGTGCCATGGTGCGGGTGCGGGCCACTGCGAGCGCGGGACACGAAGCATCATAGGCCACGGTGCGGGCACGGGCCCCCACGTGAAGCAGGCGCAACAGGCGCGGGCGCGGGCCACTGTGCGGGCGCAAGACATGATTAGCGCGGGCCACGGTGCAGGCGCATGACACGGTGCGAGCGCGGGACCCCACTTGAAGTAGGCGCAACAGGCGCAGGCGTCCGGACCCAAGCCCCGTTCGGACGTCTGGGCGCTAGATGTTCCTATATATAATTGATGGTATGAACCAATTGAAATTATAAGGAACATAGTAGAACAATGTTTATTTACAGCATTTGCAACATTGGATGTAGAGGAGCAAATCATATCTTACCGGATTAGATGGTCCTGTATGAACCAATAGAAATTAATGGAAGAACAATATTTACAGCATTTGCATAACAGTAAATGCATGGTGTGAACCAATATACATTTTTAGTCATCACCGAGTAAGATGTATATAGGTGTGGAGTAATAAAATCATACCTTACCAGGTGCCTGTTTAGTTTCTAAAATTTTGCAAATTTTTTCAAGATTTTCCGTCACATCGGATCTTTGAACGCATGCATGAAGCATTAAATATAAATAAAAAATAAAACTAATTACACAGTTTAGACGAAATTCACGAGACGAATTTTTAAGCCTAATTAGATTATTAGGTTTATATATATAACAACGAAAGTGCTACAGCACCATTTTTCAAAAAATTTCGCCTTATATAAAAATTTGACGGGAGAGGTTGTTAGGTTTAACATCTAAGATGGAACAACTCCCACCTATCAGTCTAGTGTGTGTTCTTCTAACCCAAGGTTAGTATATTGAGGGTTTCAATGAACTTGAGTTTAGGAGGCGCCGGCTCATGGTTATAGCGAAACGGGTTGGTATCCGCTGCGTACTCTATCAAAGGTCAATGCAAGTACTATTCCAATACACTTGGACCTTCGTCTACACAAGAGTTTTTCTTTTGCACGGTTCCTGCCAAGAGCCCAGGAGCAGAGTTTAGGACAGGCACAACAGCTCGCTGGCACTCCTGCTGCAGGGGTGTACAATATGCTCGCTAGGGGATATATGCCATCGTAGCGTAGCAGCGTTGATCTCTTTCCGCGGGCATTGCATATATGATATATATATGGGGCTCTCGCCCGGACTTTACGATCCGGCCCCTTCCCAAGCAATTCGCGCTGTCCCGCGCGCGATACAATAGATCGTGCGCTGCTCGAATTCTTCGACCATCGGACGCCCGCCCGCGGCCCGCGCCATGGTGATCATCAGCACGGCCGTCGACGACGCCGACCCCCTCGCGGCGGCCAATGGCGCCAGCGCTCCTCGACCGCCGGCGGCAAGCGACGACCCTGCTGCGGCATCGCTCTTCGACGTCGTCCACGGGACAACGGCGACGGCAGACGTTGCTGCAGGCACTACGCCCTGGTGGAGCTCTCAGCCGCCAAATTATGCGGCGTCGACGACAGCCACCAGCTCCGGTGCGTACGACGCCTCCTCGTCGTTTCCGCCCCCGCCGTCTTTCCAAAGCCATGGCGACGATCTCGCCTGCTACGCCGGGTCCGTTATGGACACCTTGTTCCTGCAGCCGCCGGTGCCGCCGGTGCACATGCAGCCGCCATCGATGGCGGAGCTATCCTACTTCTACTACACGCAGCCGCAGGGGTTCCCGTCATGCTTCGCCGCACCCTTGGCACTTGAACCTACTACCATACGGCCGCAGCTACAGGTGCCGACGACGCAGCCGGCGAGCATGCCGCCGTCGTTGCACTACCCGCAAAGGCAAGCGACAACGACCGGTTCAGAGTCAGTGGAAGAAGCTTCCGCTGCACTTGCAGACCCGCAGCAGGCTCAAGAAGACGACACTAGGCCCGCTCCTCGGCGTCGTGGTCGGCCTTCCAAACGCGCCCTGGCTGTGTCCGAGCCGCCGCCCGTCTCCAAGCCTACCAAGCGTGTCGCCGTTGGAAGGAACCGAGCCGCGTCGTCGTCGCAGAAGACAAGCTCTGCTGCCATCGGCTCGGCAACAATGTCGTCTGCCGGTCATGTCCCAGATCAGGCTGGAGCTACCAGTAGCACCGGAAGCACCTCCGGCCAGGCTGCTGCGTGCACAAGCACAAAAAGCCCAATGGCGTTGCTCTGTGAGGAACGATGCCAACTGCAGCCAGACTTCAGCAACGGCGCCTCAACAGGCGTAGTAGAGGGTCATCAGCAAGCTGCGATCGCGCCGTCGGAGGCGATGGTGACAGGACCACAATACGCTGACACTTCGGCTGTCGGCGTCAGGTTTCGCCCGACGGACCAGCAGCTCATCGGCTACCTCAGGAGGAAGTACGCTCGGCAACAGATGCCCGTCAAATTCTTCAAGGATTTCGACGTCTACCAAGCACACCCCATGGCGATCAAAGGTCGTCGTCGTAGTCGTCCAACCTCGATCTCTAATTGCAATTGGAAGAAGAGAGATTAATTCGATCGCGAGCCAAGATATGAGCGCGCACATGCATCGATCGATGGACCAAAATCTCTGAAAGACCTCATTGTTGCTTGTTCGTTTGCAGGTGCCTGTGGGGAGAGCCAGGACGGGTGCTGGTACGCGTTCTCGCCGAGGGACCGCAAGTACAGGAACGGCAAGCGGCCGGCGAGGAGCGTCTTCGCGGAGGGCGGCGGCCAGCAGGTGGGCTTTTGGAAATCCAACAGCAGGCTGGGCGAGGTACGCGCTGGCGGCAGCAAAGATGGTGCGGTGATAGGGAGGATGACGTCGCTCACGTTCCAGCTCGGCCGGCAGCCCAGGGGGAAGCAGACGGGGTGGAAGATGAAGGAGTACACCATCCCGGAGAACCAGCACCAGCCTGACGGCTCAGCCATGCTGGTAAGCAACGCCCGGCCGGCACGCACTAGCTGCTATAGCTTCTTACTAAGAGGGCGTTTGGCATGGCTAGCCAGAGCCGTTTCGGAAGCGGCTCTGACTCCTTTGCTTTTTACTTAGAAAAGCGGTCTTGCAAGAAAACGTTTGGCAGGTTCAGAACCGGAGCCGCCTGCCAAACAGGCTCTAATTCGTTCCATATATCAACTGCATGCATGCTCAACGAATTAACACGTACGGTAGCGAGATCATTTATTTAAGAAAAGGGGTTTGTGACATACTGACATGTGTGTGTGTGTTTTTGTCTTGTCTTCCATGCTGCAGCTCAATGACTGGGTGGTTTGCAAGTTATTTTACAAAGAACGACCAGGATATACAAATACAGAGAGCAAAGCTGACGAGAATGCCACCTCTGTTGGGCAGGAACGACCTATCCATGGAAAGAGCGAGGACAAGAATGCCATCTCTGTTGGGCAGAAACGACCAAGACGTAGTAGAAAGAGCAAAAAGGACAAGAATGCCATCCCAGTTGCTGTTGGGCAGGAAGATGGACCGGGCGAGGCCGCCGGTGAGAGCATGCAAGGTGAAGAAGATATGCAGCGGATAGTGCCTCCTGCTCACCAGGCTTCCGATTACTCTGAGCAAGACCTGTGTGTAGAGGACTACCTTGTATGTGATGTAGCATTTGCACAGCACAACGATGCTGCAAACTGTACCATTTAACATGTACGGGCAAGCGTAAACCTGCCCCCGTCATCATGAATATGTAGCTACTAGGTTCCTGTAAGTATTAATTTAGGCATTGGGTATTAATTTAGGCATTGAACTGATATACCATAATCTTATTAGTTTACATCCGTTTGTGTTATCCGTTTTGAGGTGATACAAAAGGCTTCTAAACTTTAGAACTCCATCTATAAAAACTTTAGAGCACTAGCTTACTTTTGAGGTCCAGGGGCTGTTTGGATTTTTTCCTCTAACTTTAGAGTAATTTAGCTCAGTTTTGATATCTAATGCTCTAACGTGAGGTGGGCTAAAGTTTAGAGCTAACTTTAGACCACATGTTTAGAGCTTTAGCACTAAAGTTTAGAGATCTAAAGTTTAGAGGAGGTGATCCAAACATGCCCTAAAGCTCTAATGTGCGGTGAGCTAAAGTTTAGAACTAACTTATTTAAACCACGTGTTTTGGGACTTTAGCTCTACTAGAGCTCTAAAGTTTAGAGCAGTGGATCCAAATAAGCCCTAACTTTCGTGTTTTACGTTCGCTACCAGTCCCTTTCAGGTTAGCTCATGCTCCGGCTTGAGCTGTGGCCCAGGATCACCACTGCTTCACGTCACCGGCCCTATGCAAACATACCTACGGAAACACCGTGGGGATGTATGGCTGACGTGTGGCCCATGAGGTATCTGATTTACCACCCATATGCTTAAAATAGTATCGTGGCCCACCTATCAGCTGCACAGTCCGCACGACGTCCTGGTAAGATAGTCCTCACCGAATTTTTTTCCTTTCTTTCCTGGGGATTTTTTTTATTTTTATGAAATCCCTTTTCATATCTTATTTTAAATACCTCCACTCATTTTTTAATTTTTATGTCTAACTCTTTTGGCAACGATAACACGCTTGGCGTAGTAAAATCATGTTACCCTGCCACATACAATAGTGCACCACGTGCATTAGTGTCGTGTCTCTATAGTACTAATACTGCCGGCGGTGTCGTGCCCCTCACGTCACCCGCACGAGATTTGAAGAATTACCAAAGTAATGCACGCAGACACGAAAAAGAAAAGCAGAGGCAAGATACATGTATACATCTCCAGACTCTAGAGAGCTAACAAAAAAAGTCGCATGGTCATTAATTTAACGGTGCACTTGAAACCTGCAGAATTTGCCACTTTAGATGAAGGTGATAATCCCTAGCTACGACTGCGACACTCGTTTAGGAAGGCAGGTTCGTTCATGTCCTCGCGCTCGTATGGTTGAATCTAAGTGACTAAAAGATTACTACTCTCCTTTTAGCCGCTTTTAACCCTCGAGAGATCCAAACATGAGGGCTAAAAGGGGTTAATCTTTAGCCTTCTATTAGTCCTTTTAGTCATGTATCCAAACAGTTCGATGAATTAAACTTTAGTCTCTTCATTTTAAGGGCTAATCTTTAGCCCTAGGCTAAACTTTAGCCAAGGAGAACTAAACATGACCTTAGTATAGTTTCTTTCTTAGTACTACTTATTGCACATGCTTTGGTTGTTGGCTTAATGACGGCCATTCAGTTTGTTAGGGGAAATATAAATCATGCGCACGGTGACTGAGCATGGATATGCATGGATGATTCCACAGAGAAAGAAAAGGTGGCGCACCACAGAGAGGAGGAGGAAGAAGAAAGGGTTGACACGTTTTAAATGTCCACTTCACACCGATGTTGATACCTACCACATTTTAAATGTTGGCTTTGACGTGGTAGACTTTGACATAATCTAACATAATGCTAATGTAAAGACTTCAGCGTTTTATTATTTAACGCTGAGCTTTGGGTTCAATTTTTAGAAAAAGTTTTCAGGAAAGTATATCTATAAAAAACATTTTTTAGAAAGAGTTAAAATTTTTACGAGCTTGCACCGGGTGGTGGTTCTGGAACCTGGATGGGGAGAGCGTGAGCGAGAGAGGAAGGCGGCAGGTGGCGCAGATAGTAGCCCGTCCATGCGTGATCACGATCCGACGGCCTACATACGGTTGGGCTGGGCTTTTATAGTTTGCAAAAAAAAAAGGGAAACCAGCTTGCCCGTTCCGTTGCGAAACTTTCGTTTTCTTTGAACTGAGCGAGGAAAACCACCATCCGTTTTTGTGTCGGAGGGAGGGGTGCGGGGTGCCAGTGGCTCCGAGTCTGAAGCGCAAACCCAAAACCCCCCGTCCTGCTCTGCCGCCCCACCTGCTTGCTCCAGGCTTCAACAAACCCTAGTGATAGAGGAAGGACAAGGAGAAACCGGTGGTGACAGCGGGGGCGGAGGCGTGGTACTGGCTGCTATCACCATGTGCCCGACAACCGGAAGGTCTTGATCTATGACTTGATCCTGAGAGCAATGGGAAAAACTCTAGGCACCTCCGGGACGCAGGTGAGCAAGCTGGTTAGTTACACATTTCTGCTAATTTTGCTTTTACAATGCACAATTGCATTAGACCCGGAGGGGAATGGATCCATATATTGCCGTTTTATGTTGAAGATTTGTCTCGAATTTGTATATTTTGACTAGCTATTTCTACGAAGATGTGGTTTTCTTCTTATTCTCCTAGTCAAGTGATTTAATAGCACCGTACGGGCATACAGCGTTTCTTTCAAAAAATCATATACTCTTTGCTCAGGTTGTTTTTTATGGCAAAATTAAAGTGACCTTTTTTTGCCAGCGGATATGCAAAATGGAGCAGTTTGTTGGTGGACACTCTCGTTGTTGTCAAATTTGCTCCTGTGCACCGCGCCCAATAAAATATTTATTTCTAGCTTCTGAGGAGAGAACAGCGGGGAAATGTCCTTTTTGCCCCTGGCTCCATCTTCTTCCCCATCTTGACCTCCGCAGTTGGGCAGAATGCCGCAGGACCTCAGTGCCCCGCGCTGTGTGCCTAGGCACGCTCGAGGCAGCACTGTGTCTGCGAGCTCGGCAACGGCGCGTGGTCCCTCCTACTCCTCCCCGACCCCGGCGACGGCGATGGCTAGGCCCCTCCCGAGTCGTGTGGCAGTCCTCGGCGTGCTCACGGCGGACCCCGACAGGCCCCTTTGGCGGGCACCCGGGGGGTGCACGACGACGCACGGGAGGCCATCGAGGCTGGCAACCTGTGGCACGTGCAACACCTGTTCTACATGCTTGGCGAGCTCGCCTCCTTCTCAGGCGACGCCAACCACTGCCTGGCCGCGCACGGACTGCACACGCGAGCTCTAGGGGACCAAGGTGGAGATCTAGGGTTCGAAGTCGGGCTTAGGGAGGTAGGCGTGAAGCGTGGCCGCGTGTATGGTGATGCCGTGGCGAGCTCATGGCGGCGTTGCTCAGTGTTCTATTGCCAGCGGCGAAGGCCATGGCCAACAGCCAACGGCGCGGGCTCCAACGACCTAGGGCATCACCAAAACGAGAAAGGAGGAGAGCGAATGGAGACGGAGGTGCGTCGGCCACGCGCGAGCTCTGCTCGATGGCGCCAATGGCGGGCGCGACGGTGGCAATGGCCCGCCCGACCTTTACCTGTGGAGAGCGGCGGTGCAGCTTGGTGGGAGGGAGGGAGGAGGTCATGGAGCTGTTGCGGGGGGAGTGAAATTAGAGTATGGCGCGGCAACGGTGGCGGAGGTGGTGTTGGCGGCGGCGTGCTTCTCCCTAGGCGTAGACAGAGAGGGAGGGGAAATGGCTCGAGTAGAGCAAGGCAGTAGCACCGCAAAGCCGCCGCACCGTGGGCTAGCCTGGCCCCACCGAGGCCCCACCGCGCGCGCGTGCTGCTGCACAGCAGCGTCACCGATGCCCTATGGCTGCTCCGCCATTGCCGTGGCCGCTGAGCCGGCCCCAGCACGGCCCATGCGTGGGCCCCACGCCACCGATGTGTCGCTGTCCGGCCCAGCCCCTTGTCAGAGCCCCTTTCGCCTCCACGCGAGTAGCAACAGTATCTCCAAGGCCATGGTCGTGGCCAGGGGAATGAGACCAAGGTAGAAGAAAGAGCCAGGGGTAAAAAGGACATTTTACCGTGCTTCTCTCCCATCGAAAGCCATAAATGAATATTTTATTAGGCAGAGTGTCAACAGCAAATTTACCAAGAACCAAAGTGCCCTCCAGTAAATTGGTCTATTTTGGGTGTCCAACATTAAAAGATGGTCACTTTCAGTGTCCAGTAGCCAATTTTCCTTTTTTATTATTATCTATATATATTGAATCCATCATTGGTGGTCATAATAATGGACCTTTTTGGTACAGCTTATTTGGGAAGCGCTTCCCAGATAAGCTACACAAATAGAGTAAAAGCGACGGTCAAAATAAGCTGGTCTGATCCAACTTATGTTTTTTAGTATAAATAGGAGCTGTGGGAATAAGCATGATCAGAATAAGCTGCTGAAAAACGTGGTGTTTGACTGTTGATTTCAGCTTATTTTGGTCATAAGCAGCTTATAAGCTATACCAAATAGACCCAATGTGTCTAGTAAGCTGGTGTACAAAAATTGCATCTCTTCTTCAGAGAGAAATGTGCAATCTGAATACTACTCAGGTCCTTGCCGGGTTATGTAATTGGTTACTGTTTCTAAGATTTCATTAATTATTATGCCACCTACTACAACTATATATTCTATAATTCAACATTAGTACTTCAATTCATGCACCATATCAATCCAGGTTCATGTCACGATTTCATCATCTGATGAATATAATGGGGAAATCTCTCCTTCAAAGAGTTGAAGAAACAACTATGTGTCTACTTTCTCATTTGGCTTCCATAGATAATTTACACCGGCATGAAATAAAAGATATGGAAAAGTTCAATAATCATGAATACCTGCTTGATGTTCAGCAGGACCCATCTATATTCCATTCGGCGAGGAGACGTGTTAGTGCTAGAGGGGGGTCCTGATGTACTGAGGATTCGCAGCGACAAAAGTATATCACTCTTTATTGCAATTGGAGACGAAGATGAGTTTTTTCATAGCGCAATCCCTGTTCAACTTGTGGGAATGAACAAAATTCCAGTTCACTACACCGTGGCA